AAAAAACAATCATGTTTGACATATAAAACAAGTTTGCAGAGATTGTTTGAAAATCAATCTTCTATATGAAGATTATACGATACTTTCTGATCAAAGAATGAGCGATCGAAAGTATAAAATGCAATGAAATAGTTATGTTGCCTTCGACTGGTTACTTTAAAACTATTAACTGTCCATTTTATGAAAGTGGAGCGTGCGACAGACCTTATTGTCATTTCAAGCATGCGAAACGAGGTAAGTCCCTTTGTTGTTTGACTTTCTCTGTATCATAAATACATTACGTATGACAATTTTACATTGTCCGGCGAATTTATTCCACTTTCATGTCAAAGCTTTTCTATCGTGAAATATTGACTTATATTGAAAATATCAGTTTACGTATTGTTCTAGAAGATGTTGGAATTACCACAGAGACGACCGAGACGGTGGAAAACCGTTCCACGGGTCAAACTGAAGAATCCAAAACTGCTACAGTGGGAACATCAGAATCAGACGTCTTGCAGCAATTAGTAACAGAAGCTGTCAAAAAAGTCTTGGCTAATCGAACTGTCACAGATGTAGATAATAAATTTTCTTGCCAGAACGTTGTTTCTCAGGTAGTTGAAGGACTAAAACCAACGTTAACTTCTGGATCATCCAGTACAGTAAATAATGTTACAACTAACATAGTGGAAGAAAGTACAAATACACCAACATCAGTTAATATGCAACCATGCGTTTATAATCCAACACCAATTGCAGAATTAAAGAAACGTCATATACCAATAGTATCTTATATGCCAACCAGAAAAAGTACAGTAGCTGTGAAACGTAAATCTTCTCCAGATGGAGTTAAACCATGGTTAAACGTGAGCAATGAATCCACAGACTCTCAAAGTGTTGAAATTAAATACAAACCTAGTGTAATAATCACAGCTGAAGCTAGGGACACTATGCAAAGTTATATACCTACGTGCAAATCAGAGTCTACTTTATTAAATTCATGTAAGGATGGTTCAAGTGAATATTTACTTAAACTCAGGGAAACTTATTATCCAAAGAGTAAAAAGAAAAGAGAAGAATATGTTCCAAAAAAAGTAAAAACTCCATTAAAAACTGCTGATGGACTGAATGAATCTACGTTAGATAATTTTGGAACAAATCCCAATATGATAGACGAGGTGCTCATACATTCTGAATCAGCACAGTCTAGCAAACTATCTCAAGATTCTTCTATGGATATTGAACCAAAATTTTCTGATGATGAAGAAGAGGATCATGATAATATTGATGTTCATGATGACATAAGTAAAATTAATACTACAGCCATTGAATTTAGGACCTTAGAACAAAATAAATCTTATTCTAATGCAAAAAAATCTGATTGTTTGAACAATATACAAGATGTGCATTTTCCAAAAACAACTGATAGCAGTGAATATATTAATAAAGAAAATCATAATGAAAAGATATTAACACATAGTAATACACTGAAACAAGAAATGTTCCCTAGCGATGAAAGTTCAAAATCCTTACAATGTGAAGAAAAGAATGTATCGAAGATAGATTCGAATAAAAATACCGTCGAAAGTGTAAAGGAATATAAAAATAAGGATAAGAGCAAAGACAAAAATCACAGTTCATCACATAAAAAATATAAAGATAAGCATGAATCAAGTAAGAAATCGCATTCTAGTTATAGTAGAAGTAAAAGTAGGAATCATTTGAGACACAGAAGCAAAGAATCGAAAGATAAGAAACGTGATAAAGATAGGAGTAGATACAAACATCAGGAGAAAGATAGAGACAAAGAAAGAAATGAAAGCAAATACAAATCTAAGAGCGACAGAAGGGATAATTATAAATCTGAAAAACGTCATAGGTATTCCAAGAGTTCTTCAAAAGAGCACTCTAAGAATAAAAGTGATAAAAACGATAAACATTCGAAATCGAGTCGTAAGTCAGATGAAAAATATGCTGAAAATAAGGAAAAAAAAACTTCACACTCTTTAAAAAGTGTTCAGCTGAATTCCATGGATGATGGTGATGAAGAATATGATGATCATTATAACAGTATTATTGATAATATTGTTGATGTAACTTTCAGTACATCTGACTCAGATCATGATGTACAAGAAGAGTGTTTAAAAATATTTCAGGTATGTGTAGTCAAGTGATTTTAGTGAAATCAAAAAAGTTTAAAAATAACAATATAAATATGTATATTTATTTCTCTATTGGTAATGTTATAAGGAATATCAAGTACCAGAACGATCAAAGACAGCAGATTTATCAAAAGATTCATTAATGCAGCAAGAAAAAGAAAAGGAACAGACAGAAGAAGTTGGTAAGAAAAGAGTAGCACACCCTTCAGCAGCTACATGTGTCACTAGGCAAATTGGAGTTAATCAACAGCCAAGAAAATTAATAACTGCACAACAAAAAATGTATGAAAGATGGCGTCTAATGCACGATGCTATAGCAGAAAAAACAATTTCTGCGAGCAGTAGTCGTAACTACCCTGAAGTAATAGGAACAGCGAGCAACAGCGAATTAAAGTTAAATGGAAATGGTACATAACTGTTTATACATAACTGATATTTTTTCAATTCTGTTTTATTAATTAATTATGTACATGAGATTTATTTTATTCGACAGGTCGTGTTAGAATTGCTCATGTACCATATGCTAAATCTCTAACAATAGAAAAAAAGAAGGTAATAGAAAATGTAGGAAAGTCGGTAGAATCGAAAACAATAGACAATTCTAAAACAGCTGCACAGACAGCCAAGAGTGGTGTACGCATTGCTCACGTTCCGCAAGTGGTTCGTAATCATTGTTTTAGAATTAATTATAAGTATACAAAGTTATATTATATTATATAATGTCTTGATCGTGGTTTTAGGTTCCTCAGTTAATTCGTCCCGAGCCGTTACAAGTAGCCACGCAGAAATTTCCTTTAAATGTTCGTCAGTATTATGTGAATATGATGCACGATATATGTGTGTTGATTTACACAAATGCCGAGGATGCAGCACAGCGTGCGGTTAAAGAAGAATACGCTTGTCATGAAAGATGCAAAGCACTAGCCGTTTACAAAAATTCCTGTATGCTTGCTACTCATAGATTGAGAAAAGAAACTGATCAAAATTCACCTGCGGATAATAATACAGTAACAATACCAGGTAGTAATACAGTATCCCATGAAGCAGTACTTGCTGGGAAAGCTAAAGGTTCCTGGAGTGTTCTTAAGACAAAAAGATCTGTTATGGAATTTAGAGGTTCAGCTTTGTACGGTATGTTAAAAAAATGGATAATGATAGAACAACAACTTCGAGATAATGGTTTTCCTCGTCCACATCCAGACGGCCAGAAGGTAAAACAAGTGAAAAATGTTTAAAAACAAAAAATAAAATATTTGTGAAAATATTTATTTTTTTATATTGTGGTCCAAACTTTTTCAATTGCAGGGTCGTGCCAAAGTCTATGTAACTAATTCACGAAATGTTCTGTCAAAAGTGCCTAATGAAAGAATTTGTAGTCGATGTGGTCAAACTTATATGGTTGATAAACAAGGATTTGCTTTGCAATCACAAAACTGTATATATCATTGGGGCAGAAAATTCACAATTAGAGGTGAAGGCAAATACAGTTGTTGTCAACAATATGGTTCTGCAACTGGCTGTTGTGACGCAAAAACACATGTATGGGATTATACAGATTATGAAAATCTTCGTGGTTATGTAAAAACATTGCCAAAAGGTAACTTGCAAACGTTTATTTGTTTTTTATTTTCAATTTATATGTATTTTATTACTTGTTCTTATTATCATTATTATAATTAAGATGCACCAGTCGAGGAACAAGGAGTATATGCACTTGATTGTGAAATGTGTTACACAACTCAAGGATTAGAATTAACTAGGATAACAGTCATTGATGAGGATTGCAGTGTAGTATATGAGACGTTAGTCAATCCACAAAATCCAATAATCGATTATAATACCAGGTAAAAAAATGTTAAAATATTTTTTTTCCTTTTTTTTTTAAAGAAACGTATGTAAGTGAATGTATAAGAATTAGTCTATATTTATCTATATTTATCTTTCATGCAATTTGTACGAATAATTATTGTATCATTGGAATCGCATATACAGGTTTTCTGGAATTACGGAAGAAAATATGAAAGATGTGACAACAACATTATTGGACGTTCAAGCGACATTGCTGACCATGTTTTCGGATAAAACTATATTAGTGGGTCACAGCTTAGAAAGTGACTTCAAAGCTTTAAAGCTCTTACATGATACTGTGGTCGATACAAGTGTGATGTTCCCGCACAAAAATGGATATCCACAAAAGAGAGCGTTGAAGAATCTTTGTTCCGAATATTTAAGAAAACTCATCCAAAATGACGGTTGGTTATCTATTATCTATTATCCATTAATCATTTGCTTATCTATTTTTGATTCACGATATCATTCAATGACAACATTCTATTTTCTTTGCACATTACGGTTGAAGGATGAAGTACAATCAATTCTTCTATTAATTTTGTAATTCGTGTTATAGTTGGTGGACATGATAGCAAAGAGGATGCTATTGCTTGTATGGAATTAATTCTTTGGAAAGCAAAGGAAGAAGCAAAATTGCAATAAACGAACCTACAAACACTCAATCAGACTGATCCGTGTACAGCTTATGGTTTTCTGGTTTATGAAACGATAATAATCTTTTTTTTCTAAATTATCGCATACGTTGTATTATAGTTTTTCATGTATAAATATGTGATATACATATGACCGATTAAGTCGATTATTACATAAATCATTGCTCATCTCAATTTCATTATTCTACAATAGGTGCATGTTTGCTCTTTTGATTATGCGTTCATACTTTTATAAGATTTTGTGGTAATTATTTACAAAGTAATTAATCCCGCCGATTTCAATAACCTTGAGATATGTTAGCAAGATCAACATACTGAATAATTTTCTATGGATATAAAACCATCACTAAGCTTCAGTTTCAGAAATAAAAATAAAAATAATTTTATAGACAAATACATTACTACGTGTAAAAATATAGAATCTACGTGGAAAAATTTAGAATCACATTATATATCTAAC